TGTATTTATACTCCAGACTATGTGAGAATGTCTGTTTTCTCAGAATTTTGCCAGTAAAGTGTGTTATCACTCTTGGATTTTACTATTTTGGTACGGGATATATGGCTTTGATTTGAATGTCTTTTATTACGAGTGCATTTAGCACATTTTCATGTTTGAGGCCATTTGCATTTCTCTTTCTGTGAACTCTCAGTTGATGTCTTTTGCCCATTTCTCAATTATTCTTTAAATAATGAGGCCTTTTGTTTCAGGTTCATCTGTGTCTTTTCCTGGGAAGACTTTTACCTTGAAATCAACTACTAACTTTATTCTGAATAATTAGAACTGACTAGGGGTAGGCCCCCACCAAAATGAATATGAACTCTAATAGCAGCACCCTCTTAGGAATGCATCCTCTGTGGTGGCTCTGAGTTTTATGCACATCGTCTCATTGTAGCCTCACAACAAACTACCTTACTGATGAAGAAACTGAGGCACTGAGAGGATGAGTGAAGTTCCCTAGGTCACACAGGTAGTGAGTGGCAAAAATAGGATGCAAACCCAGAGCCAGATTGGTTCGGCCAAGTCCATGCTCTGAATCAGGGATTGGCAAATGTTTTTGGTAAAGGGCTGGATAGTGAACATTTTAGGTTTTGCTGATCCTTCTCTGTCTCAACTACTCAACTCTGCCATTGTAGCCAAAAGCAGCCATTAGACAATACATAAACAAATGGGCATGGGTGTGTTCCAAAAAAATTAGTTATGAAACCAGTTGGTTGGCCAGATTTGGCCTGTGGGCTGCAGTTTGCCAACCCTTGCCCTAAACCACTCCATGATATCCCTTCCCCTGCTTTAGTAACAATAGCAGTAGCAGGCTTTGTGCTTTCTAGTGCATCTCAGGGACCCCTGTTCTCATCCCAGCAGATGCACTGAAGTCTTTACACAAGAATAGAAGTCTGGACAAACAGCCATGAGGGAATGGGGGAGGCAGAGAAGGTCTATTAACCAGGACAACTCTGGAGGGCTTTTGTTCCCCTCTCCTGACTCTGGAAGAAGAGACATGGTCTGTCATGGCTAGAGATTTCCTGGAAAACATAAAAATTCAGTTTTATCTTTAAAAAGCTATTTAAAAGTGCATAAAGTTGCAGAATGCTCTATGGTGGTAAGTAGTACCACTGATTTCTGAAAATTCAGTTGAAGGGAATAAGGAAATAGAGATGAAGCACCAGTACTAATCTATAAATTAAGTGTGCATAAGGCTCAAGGCAGGGTGGCCAACCATCCCAGACAAATACGAGTTGGTCACCCTGGCTCAAGGTAATAATCAAAACTAAGTTGAATGCTTTGAAAGACTTGATAAAGGAAAATTATTAAAAAAGTACTTTGCTAAAGCAGTAAGAGTGAACAATGTAACTAAGAAAGTTTGGGAAAATCTTAAAAATCCAGAAGAGAAACCTGGGAGACATTGCTTTGCTTATGTCTTGACGTTCTTGCTTCACTTTAAAGATACAGGAAATAGAAATGGAACATAGCATGGTATGATTTACACAAAAAAGTTTAAGCATTGCTCTAACCAGTAATTCAGCTAAGAAAAGGCCAACAGTAGAGATTGGTGAGTGAACAGGCACTTATAGATTTAAGCTTCATGTTTATGGCGTGGTTTTACTTTTTTCTTTTATGATTCTCCACATGATCATTTTCAATTAATCAGCTAATTACCAGTCCTGAGTCAGCCAGAAGGACTTCTGTGTTTTCAAAAGACCGATTTACCCTCAATCATCTCAATATATCTTAACTTTTGGAGCCAAAAGGGATCTTAAAGATAACCCAGTCTGATGCCCTCATGACACAAATGAGGTTGCCCAGGTTCCAAGAGAAGATGTCCTTGACCATGGCCCCATGGTGAGTAGAGGAGATAAATAAGGGCTTTTCCCACTGCTCCACCTAGAAGGTGGTCCTATGATGGCCCAGCCCAGAAGATTGCTGTGGGCGGCAGATTACTGGTTCTCCAAATGTGTCCACGCCCTAAATCCTAGATCCTCTGAATATGTTAGTTTACATGGCAAAAGGGGCTTTGCAGATGTGACTAAGGTTAAGAACTTTGAGACAGGGAGATCATCCTGGATAGTCTCAGTGGACCAATCTAATCACATGAGTCCTAAGAAGTGGAAAGGGAGGAAGAAAAGTGCGTCAGAAAGATACAACGACAGAAGAAGAGGCAGGAGAAATTCCATGTGTGAAAAGGTTTGACCCACTCTTGCTGGCTTTGAAGGTAGAGGAAGGGGGACAGAGCTGAGGAATGCAGACAGCCCTTAGCAGCTGGGAACAGCCCTCAGCTGCCAGCCAGCGAGGAGATGGGGAATTCAGCCCTACAACTACAAGGAATGTTATTCTGCCAGCAACCCAAATGAGCAAGGAAGTGAATTCTTTTCTACAGCCTCCGGAAAGGCCCTGCTGACAACTTGATTTTTGCCCTGTGGGACCCAAGTCTCCCTTTTTTTTTTTTTTGGAGATGGAGTCTCACTCTGTCACCCAGGCTGGAGTGCACTGGTGCGATCGTAGCTCACTACAGCCTCGAACTCCTGGGCTCAAGCAATCCTCCAATTTCTGCCTCCCAGAGTGCTGGCATTACGGGTGTGAGCCACTGTGTCTGGCCTGACATCTGAGCTCTAGAACTTTAAGATAATAAATTGTGTTGTTTAAGACACTAAATTGGTGGTAATTTGTTTCAGTAGCGATAGAAAACTAATACAAATGTAATGGTGACAGACCCCTTCCTATTTCAGAATATTCTGGTGAGTAGCAACTGATGTCATAGAAAAGATTCTAGAAGAGCAGGTCATGTAGAGGGACCCTTGGGTGAAGGCTAACAGGTTATTGAGGAAGTGGCATCTGAAAACTCCAGGGAAGCAAGCATAGGTAGAACAACTTTCTGGCAACAGAGGTCAAGGCTGCGGCTGTGGCTGCTTTCCTGCTCCCCTCCGGAAGGCACCAAGGGCCTCCAGGAGACCTGCAGACTGGCAAGTGGGTATGTGGTGGGCAGGGGCCAGGATGGGCAGGACTGTACCCAACTGCAGGAGATGCTTATCAGAAATTTCACTTAGTGCTGCTTGGATGGCAGTTCTGCTGGGAAGAGTAGTTTTTGTTCATTTGTTCATTTAACAAAGGTCCCTTAAGCATCTACTATGCACCAGATTTGTTCTAAGTTCTGGGGATAAAGCAGAGAACAAAACAGACCAGGTTGCTGCATTCCTCATGCTTACACTCTGCTAGGGGAGACAGAAAATCAGCAAGTGAACAAATAAGTGAACAAGGGAATTGCTGATATTGACTTATGTTATGAAGAAAATAAAAATAATTTTCTGTTATGGGGCAGTGATCAAGGAATCTTCTTTGAGGTAATGAGCTTGTCTGAGCTGAGATCATGACAAGAGGGAGCAAACTATGTGGTTGTTGGGGCAGTTGTGTTCCAGGCAGGAGGAATGGCTGGTGCAAAGGGCCTGTGGCATATTCAAGAAAAAGAAATATGCAAGGCGGCTGTGACGGGGTGAAGGTGAACAAAGGAGAGAGTGGTGTGGAATCATCCTGGAGAGGTGCTCATCGGCTGTGTCAGGAGGGTCTTGTCAGCCAAGTTGAGGAGTTGGGATCTTATTTACTGTGCAAGGGGAATCCATCGCAGGTGAGTGATGTACTGGCTACAAGCTTTTGAAAAGGCCCTTCTAGCTGCTGTGTGGAGAAGAGATGTAGGGGAGTATGTCAGAGGGGAGTATAGTTCGGATACTTCTACAGTGGTCAGAGATGGTGGTGGTCTGGACTAGGATGATGGCAGAAGAGATGGAGGAAGGTGGGTAGGTTTTGGAAGAACAGCAGACATCACTCCTTGCTGAACTGGCTGCTGGAGAGGAGGGAAGGTGAGAGGACTCAGCGTGCCTTTTATGAGTTGAGATAGGGCCTGAAAATATTGTTTGATCTGTTGAAACGAAAACGTGGACTTTCCCCATATGCATTGAAATTCAATTCTTAAGCAAAGGATGTGGAGTGCAACCAGAGCTCAGGAAAGCAGCATCCATAGGAGACCTAGTGCTTTGCACATTTAACTTATTTACTCTTCAAATCAACACAATTAGTACTATTGAATCTCTGTTAGAGATGAGGAAACTGAGTCACAGAGAGGTTGAATAACTTGTGTAAGATCTCTACTGGGATCACTGATATCCTGGCCATGGAGGGGTGAAGCTGGGATTTGGATCCAGGCAATATGGTTTCCAAGTCTGAGCTCTTATACACTAGGCCATGCTAGATATTGCATTTGGCGTGATGGTCATGTCTGCAGCTGTACGTATTTCCAACTTTTGCTCAAGTTAGACATTTTGTCTAGGTCACTGGTTCTTAACAGGGGGCAATTTTGTCTTGTATGGGACATTTTTGTTTGTTACAACTGTGGAGGCAGAGCTACTGGCATCTGAGACCAGGTATGTTCCTAAACAATTCCAATGCACAGGACAGTCGCTGGAGCAAAGAATTTTCCAGCCCAAGTGCCAAGGTGGAGAACCCCTGGTGTAGGTGAATGTAGCCTGGAGGATATGCGTAGGCCTGTGAATGGTGACAGACAAGACGGTGCAATTGATCCAGTTGATGTATACTGATGGAGTGTTAGGGGCCGTGGGAATGCTAGGAAGAAGAGATGTCCTAACTCACAATTGTGTCAACGTGAAATGAGTGAGATACAAACCAAGAAGAAGCCAATGGGTTTTGCTGGAGGGAGAGACGTGGTGGTGGTGGAGAGGGGGGAATTCAAGAGTGCAATTTCCCTGGGAAACATGGGAAGAGGCAGGGCCTCAGGCATCCCAGGTTTGCAGTGACATCGAGCAGAGAATTAGGATGGGAAGAAGTATCATGGTTGTGCCAGGTGAGACTCCCATTTTCCTGAACGTGCTCTATTGCACACCCATCCCGCACAGTGCCCTTCTCTTCCTTCAGAGGACCAGTGTCCCCGTGATCTTGGTGGCAATTATCTGTGACTCCACCCACTCACCTGGCCACCATTGCCCTGTGCTGCCCAGCACCTGGAGAAGATGAAGGCATCTGTGGTTCTCTCCCTCATTGGCTGCCTGGTGGTTCCAAGCGGTGCTCGCATCTTGGGGCGTTGCACGGTGGCTAAGAAGCTCTACCAAGGAGGCCTGAGTTATTTTGAGGGCTACAGCCTTGAAAACTGTGAGTAGGCCCTCTCAGCATGCCTCACTTGCCTTCTTGCCCTCCATCCCCCACCCAGGACCCCCAACTCCAGCTCTCCTCAGAGCCACACACTTCCTGTTCCTTCTTAGGGGTGTGCCTGGCTTATTTTGAGAGCAAGTTCAACCCCACGGCCGTCTACGAGAATACACGTGAAGGCTACACTGGCTTCGGCCTCTTTCAGATCCGCAGCAATGACTGGTGTGGCCACGGCAGGAGCCGCTGCCACATGGAATGCTCCGGTATGTCCCCTCCTTCCATCCATCCTTCCGGGGCACTGGAGGCTGTGGCGCTATGCTCAGAGGTCTGCCTTCCCAATGGCCAGAGTTTACGAGTTTGGAAGAGGCAGGAGGAAGGCCTGGCAGGAGCTGGGCTAAGCTGTATCCAGGGATGGGTCACGGGGAGGCTGAGCACAGCACTGCCAGGGCGGACAGTGAGAAAGGGCTGTGGCGAGTCAGGTACGTGAGTGCTGGAGACGAACGTCCAGATGGGCAGAGAAGGTACTGGGATGTTGAGAGGAGGCTGCAGGCATCAGAGCCTGTCTCAGCCTGAAGGGTGGGCCTGATTTCACCCACAATTAGCCACCACTCCCTTCTGCAAGGGGGCAGATGCTGCCACTTGGAAAGGCAGAGTGGTCACTGGGAGGAGACAGGAGCTGGTCATCCTAGGGAGACCTTGCCTACTGCTCTGAGGGGTCCCAAATACCTGTGGTCAAGAGGAGGCAGTTGTCCAGGATTCACTCATTCCATGAGCATTTATTGAGCACCGACTAAGTGCTGGGCCTTATGGAGTTGTCAATGTAGTGCTTGTTAACTGCCAGGTACACTTCTAAGACCTTCACAGGTATTTACTCGTCTAATGTTCATAATGACGTTCATGAGGTAGGTACAGTTATTATTCTCATTTTCTAAATGGGGAAACTGAAGCCCTGTGAGGGTAAGTACATGCCCCAGGCCACACAGCTGGTGAGTGGTAGAGCTAAGAGGCAAACCCAAGCAGTGTGACTCCCAGGTTGAGCTAAACCAAGAGGCTGCACAGACGGGCCAAGTCTCCCTGACGCCGGAGGCTGTCTTTCTGCATAAGGAGGGCCTAAGCATCCCAGCATCCTCAAGGCCTTCCTAATGAGCAATCCTCCCTCCACCTTGGTGGGTGAGAACCATTCTAGAGCCTGCGGCTTCTGAGCTGGGTCTTTAGGAGACAGAGTGGAGAGGGTGGGGCAAAGGCTTGCAGTCTTCTCATGTGGCCTGGGGACCACCTGCCTTGTGTTGGGTTCCATGATTGGCCTTGGAGTCCAGAGAGGAGTAAGAAAGTTCCTGGATTCAAGGAAAGGCAGGACTGCAAAGTAGGAGGAAAAGGCACAGGAACCTGGCAGGAACCTGGAAGGAATCCCAGCTGCTCCCATTAAGAGCTACATGAGCTTGTGCAAGGACTTCCTGGAGCTTCCCTATCTGTGAAGTGGGGACAATATTAACTAACTCTTAGGGTTGCTGTGAGCATTAAATGGGATAATGTGGGTAAAATGCCATGCAGGGCACATAGTGAATTATAGCAATCACAGTCTAGTTGGGCAGACAGATATATTAATAGCGTAATTCAATCATGCTTTAAATCAATCACATTAATTAATTTAATTTAAATTTAAATCCGATGATGAAATATTCAGTGTCACCCTGAGCTTTCTGGTAGCCAAGGCAAAAGAGAAACATGGTAGGCTCATAATTTATATTTCATATGAACACACACACACACAAACACACACGCATCTCTTCAGAATCCAATGGGAGACACATACAATTACCTATCAGTAATAGAGTTAGTACTGTAATATAGTTAGTTGTGATGAAAATATGGTGGGCTAGATATCCTGAAAAACTCTCCCACTAGGTGGAATGTAAAAAAGAAAAGAAAAAACACCCACATCTTTTAAAGTACCTGGCTGAGTTGGCAAGAAAGGAAGGGAAGTCCCTGGAGGGTAAAAAGGGGAGCAAGAATCCAGACATGTGCATAAGACTGAAGCAGATGATGATCGTGGGGCATCAGGGATTCTCTGCAGCCTAGTGCACGGGTGTAATGGCCACGGTGTCGGCAGGGCCTGAGCGAGGTGAGGAGGTGCAACGGAGACCTCCGCGGAAAGCTGAGACACTAGAGGGCTGCAGTGTCAGGGGACAGGGATGAGCTAGAAAGTCCCCGAAGTGAAGACATTCTAAGTAGAGGGAGAAAACAGCCTTCCCTGGGAATTTGCAAGCGCAAGCCCATCAGATTCACAAGGGGGCAAGTCACCACATGGAGGTACTAGACCCTGCGCTAAGTACTGCGGGCAGCTCAGAGGAATCGTATACTTCTCCTGTCAGGCAAACGGAGGAACAGAAATAGCACAGGCTTTGAGGCCACACGGAACCTTGGCACCACCTCTTACAAGCTATGGCCTTTGAGCCTCAGCTTTCTTATCTGTAAGATGAAGATAATAACCGTCTCTACCTCACAAGGCTGTTGTGAGTTTTCGGTGCACTGTCGTGTATGTCGGGTGTCGAGCACAGTGTCTGGGATACTGCCTGGTGCTCGAGGAATACAACTTCCCTCTGTTTAAAGAATTTACAAGGTAGATGGGGATTAGCATATATGTATGTATACAGCAGGTAAGTACTGAATCAAAGTGGCATTTTATTCAGAAGAGGGGAGATGGTGGGCTAGGTGGTCAGTGGCATACTCTTAAGGACTGTGCTGCTTGGATGAGCAGATCCGGGCTGGGAGATGAGCGTGAACAAAGTCCTGGAGAGAAACTGCCTGTGATCCCTAAGCTGTGGGTGTCGCGTGCAGAGCAGCCACCTTCAGGGTGGGCACCATCTTTGTCTCCTGCCTTTGACGTGCATCCGACGGGGTTGGAGAGGGAAGCAATGGGAAGTAGGTTTACAGAAGTGGAAAAGCATGTTGGGCACCACTGGACTAAGCCAAGGATTTGGGGTTCTGTTTTCCAGGCAACCAGGGGGCACTGAAGTGACATTTTAAGGAAAAGCAATCAGACTAGATTAGAGAAAGGTGAGACTAGTGTAGGTAAGAAAGAGGGTAGCACAAGTGGGAGGTCTTGGTTTCCACATTCTGAGGAGGGAATGGAAGGATGAGAGCATAGACTTGGTTGCTCAGAGCCACTGCTGGGCCTTCCCACGTGCTGCTCCTTCCCTGTGCCTGGACAATTTTCCTGCTGTGACTCCCTCAACCGCCTTTACTTACCTACTCCGTTAGATGTCACTTGGCCCAGTAACCCTTCCTTGACCCTTCACGTCTGAATTAGGCGCCCCTACTAAATGCTCCCTCTTCAAGCTGCATCCTCCCATCATCCTGGTATTCACTGTATTATTTAATATAATTGCCTGTGACTTCACCCCCTTCCAGACTGCAGGCTTTGTGATGACAGGGACAGGTTTAGGGTTTATCGTGTTTGCCTTTGTATCTCCATTGCTTCTTATATTGCTTAGAACAGAATAGTCAATATACACATATGTATTAATTGAAAAATTATTATAAGAATTACAAGAAAAAAATCAATGACTTTGGTAAAAAGATGACTACATCTGCTACCTCCTAGGGTTGTCTGAGAAAAATCCAGGGATAGATTTCTTCTTGCAATTACACAGAGCCTCTCTTGTGGGAGCACCCTGTACCTTCCCTGACATCACGCTAGCTTAGCTGTCACATGGTGGTGTGGTATATTCCACCTTGTTTTCTCCACAGCTCTACTGAACCAGAATTTACAGAAGACAATTGAATGTGTCAAGACAATTGTAAAAGGGAAAGATGGGATGGGATCATGGTAAGTGGTACATTTTTATATGGCCTGTATTAGTGACCTTCTCTCATTGCCTTTACTCTTGATCTTGGCCAAATCTTGGCTGCTGCACAGCTGCAGTCCTGAACTCATGGGCTCCTACTCACCAAGGTAAGTAGCAGAACACTATTGAGTTCCACGATCCCAGGGCCACAGAAGGATGGAAATCATTATCAGGCAAATTGTCTTCAGTTGTACTTTTAAAATTTCGAATCTTGTTTAGAGTTATATAGAATGCTGGTATAAACTTCCTTGAAACAAATTTCTGAGTTTATTGTAACAATATCTGTATTTTTGTCATAATTTGTGATTATTTCTTTCATATAAATTCTTACAAGGCTTTTGAATACTTTTAAGGTTGCTGATGCGTGTGGTGAAATGACTCTCCAGCAAGCTTGTACCAATTTCTATTTATTTTTTCTTTACTTTTTTTTTTTTTTTGAGACAGGGTCTCACCGTATTGCCCTGGCAAGAGTGCAGTGGCATCATCATAGCTCACTACAACCTCAAACTCCTGGGCTCAAGTGATCCTCCTGTGTCAGCCTCCCAAGTATCTAGGACTACAGGTGTGCACCCCCATACCTGGCTAATTTTTCTATTTTTTGTAGAGAGCAGTCTCGCTCTTGCTCAGGCTCTTAACCTCAAATGATCTTCCTGCCCTGGCCTCCCATAGTGCTAGGATTACAGGCACGAGCCATTGTTCCAGGCCCCAATTTCTATTTCTATAAAGCGTTTAATAAAATCCCTATTTACTGTACCTTCATCAGTCACAAAACCTTTGCCATTTGAAAGGTGAATAACAATTTTGTCGTCTTTTTCCTTTATACTATCCCATTAGGGTATTTTCCCCTATTTTTGTTATATATTGATATTCTTTCCTGATTTTTTTCCTGTCTCTTTCCTTTGTCTATTTTTTAAATTCAAGTCATCATATTGATTTGAAAGAGCTCTTTATATATGAGCTATATTAACTAATTATTGTATAATTTCCATCCAAAATAACTGCAACTCTAATTTCGTCTTTAGTCAGATATTTAAGAAAGCCTTCGAAAATTTACATGTGGGCCTGTATCTAACTTCTTTCACTCAATATTATATTTGTTCTTGTTATTGTGTGTAGTTGTAATTCATTCATTTTCATTGTTGTATAGTATTCTATTGTACGAATACACCACACTTATGTATCCATTCTTTTATTAGTGGACATTCGAGTAGTTGCTACTTTTTTAGTGCTGCCATGAACATTCTATACTTATCTTTTGGTGAATATATAAGTGGCTTTCCATTGATTATACTGACGAATAAAGTTGCTGGCCATAGGGTGTGCATATTTTCAGATTTTCTGAAGAGATTTTCATCAGTTTATACTGCCGTCAGCAGTTATGGGTTTTAGTTGCTCCCCACTCTCAACAGTGCATGGTATTTTCTAATGTATGCTTATGACTGTGTAGGGTATTGCATTATGCTTTTACTTTGCATGTCCTTGATGACTAATGAAGTTGAGCCCTTTTCAAATGTTTATTGGCCATTTAGATATCCTTTTATGTGAAATGCCTATTCAAATCTTTTGTCAATTTTTCTATTGTGCTGTCTTTTTCTTATTAATTTGTAAGAGATATTTGTATATTCTGGATAAATGTTTTTGGTGGGTACATGTATTGCAAATATTTTTCATTCTGTTGATAAACAGAAGTTGTTGTTAGTCTTAATATAGTCTAATTTATTACTACTTGCCCTTTATGGTTATCTTTAACAAATATTTGCCTAGTCCTTGGTCATGAGGATATTGTCCTTTTTTTCTAAAAGTTTTATTATTTTACCTTTCATATTTGGCTCTACAACACCCTTTTTCTTACCTTATTGCATTGGCTAGGATTGCCAGTAAATGTTTAATAGAAGTGATGATAGTGGCATCCTTGTCTCATTCCTAATCGTGCAGGTAAGAAGTTCAGTATTTTATCATTACATGTGATGTTTTCTTCAAGTTTTCTGAGATACTCTTAATCAGATTAAGAATGTTTCTTTCCATTTCTAGTTTGTTAAAGGTTTTTAAATCATGAATTGGGTGTTTAATTTTGGTTATTACATTTTTAGTGTTTTTTTTTTTTTTTTTGCAATTCTGTGTCAGCTTATCAAATTTCCTTTTAAAATTCAAACTGTTGTCTCTTAAACCTCTCTTCTCTCCCATGACTTTATCCAGAGGGCATATCTGATTACATCTTATTGAGGATATCAATTTTATGAAACTTACTTCTGGATCCTGTAGTATATTATTTTCAGAAGAATGTTCCTCTAAATTTTATTATGATGCCTCCTTTTCTTCTTGTGATATTTCCTCATAGGTGCCATGTTAGTTTTATTCTCTTTCCCATTCCTTGAATAAGGACAGATTTACCCTTATTCAGTTTTTGCCAAATAGACAAATTGCAACAGGCTTTTTCTTATCTCTGCTCACTGTTACTTGGGTGATAGCCAAACCCCTCTCTCAGATGTCCATCTGGGGGTGGATTGGTGTGCACATCTCTTGGCCCAGTTTCCAGTTTGGAGATTTTGCTGTTGTGAGTGTCTGGCTCTGTCTGATAGGCTGAACCAATAAAGTACATGGAAACCCTCCATTTTCAGCATGTACTGCTACCGCTTCCATCTATGTCATTTACCATGGCAGCCCAGGGGACACTTACCACCACACATTTCCACCTTTCCCTGCCTTTTTTCTCCCTATCCCACATCTCATGATTGCCTGCCTGGGTGATTCTGGGCATTGTAGTGTCCAGTTAGATCTATAAATGGTGTCATAATCCCTTAGTTCTGATGGTACCATTTTTCATATTTAATATTTCTGAAATTAGTCTTTACTTTGCAATCAATGTATCCTCCCCCAAAGGTTGTTATTAAATCATGGATGAATCTTAAAATAGAAGATATCTTATAATAGAGAAAATCCTTTAATGATAGCTACAATCACTTGACTGCTTTAGTGTATAGACTTTGCATATTTACATACACAGCATCACTTAATCCTCACAAATCCCTCTGTATTGAGTATTCTTATCTTCCTTTTTAAAATGAAGAAACTGAGGCACAGACAATAACTTGCCCATGGCCACAGCAGTAGGATCAATCCTGGATCTATGCTATTCTAAGCCTCAGCTATCACCAGGCTACTCAAAGAGATGAGGATGGTTGTCACAGAAGATCTGTGCTCTGTGCTCTGGCTGTATAGAAAGCAACCACAGGGCAGCTGTTCAGAACTCCTGTGAGTCCAGACTCAGGGTTTCTGAGCAGGGTCAGACAGTGGGAGGGAGGGACCTGCAAGTGGACTCATTTCATGGGGGAAAGCCTAGGTGGTGTTCCCTACCATGACCCATGAGCCGTCCAGGCAGTGGAGAACCCGTCCAGAATCTGGCACAGGAGGTGTGTCTTTTTCAGATGTTAGGCCTTTTCGTTGTTGCTTTTTTTCCTCTTTCTGTCTCTTTAAGGTATTTTGAAACTAAATTCAGAAATTGTTTTTCTTGCCTTTATATCTCCATCATCTGGCTGTGTGCCTGGCACATAATGGTTGTCCCCTAAATGTTTGTTGAAAAGTTAAGGCTACACTTAAGGCCATTACCCAGAAGCCATTCATAACATTTTAATTTCTTTAAATTTATTATTTTTAAAATGAAAAGTAAAATTTTTCCTCTTAGCAGCCTCCAGAAGGTTACTACTATTAATATATCTTGTAAATCAGAGAAAAACATATGCACAAATATTTTTAAACACATGTGGAATCTCAGTGTAAATACTGACCTGCACGTCACTTTTTTTCTTATTAGTAGAGCTCATGAATCTAGGCTACTTAGAGGTCTACTTTAAGGTCTCTGCAATCTCTGTAACGGCTTAGCCCATTTTTCTACTGGATTGATAATGTTTTTTTCTTCTCATTGATTGTTTTATGTGTCCTTTATAAATTAGGTTTATTAGAACTTTGTTCATTATATCTGTGTGAACTAATTTTTCAGGTTTGTTATTTGTATTTTGACTTTTTTAATAGTATTTTCATCCTACAAGAGTTTTGTAGTTGCACAGAATCAGATTCCTTGGTCTTTTCTTTTATGGCTTCTGGGTTTATATGAAATCTCCTTCTTAGAAAGGTTTTTCATACTCCAAAATTGTAAAAAAGTTGAGCCATGGTTTCCTCTGTATTAGTACAGTGTTGATACGAAATAAGCCCTATATTAAATTTGTGATAAATTAAAAAATAAAATTTTTATGATTTCATGTTTTTATGATTAAAATTTTGGCCCTCTTGGAATTTATTTTGATATAAAAAGTGGGATAGGGATCCAGCTTTATATTTTTCAAATGGCTTGTCATTGGTCTCAGCACCACTTGGACATTAACTTATTTTCCCCACTAATTTAACACATTGCATTTTAAAGTAAAAGTCCCTTATTAATGTTAACTGTTTTCAGAGTGTTTGAAATACCTTTCATACATGGTCTTGACTTTCCAATTAATTCGGAAGCTTGTTTGACCCTCTAGGGTAAGCACTAATGAGCTACCGTCAGCCTTACTGTATGGCTCTAAGTAGAGAGATGTGAAGCCAGGCTGATCAGGGCCTTCTTACTCGCCCAGGTTCCCAGTGCAGGGAGCTCTTATTAAGCTAATGGGCAGCCACATCTTCTCCAAAGCTCAGATGGGGCAGCTGTGCAGGGTTGGGACACACGGGAAAGGAGAAGACCAAAACCTTGGAAGCGCCCAGGAGTCCCTTCTGCAATGTCTGCCCTGGGGCCATGCAGAGCCTTGGGATTTCTGAAAATATTACACTTTTATATGTATTTTCCCTGCTGCTCTACAGCTATGAGGGGCCAGTTTCCACTGCGGGACCCCCCTACCCTGGAGGACCCATGGAGGCCTGCCCAGCTGAGGGATGGGCTGACTAGACAGGATTTCTGGTGGTCTACAGCTGTTGGTGCCTCCCCCAGCCTGTCAGTAGCCAGGGGAGACCCTGAGTGGTGGGTGCTGGCACAGGGACTGGGAACATGGGAATCACTTTTAGGGGCACCAGGAGAAAAGGTTAGAGAAACTCAGTCCTACTGAGCCAGGTGGGGTCGAGGGAGGAGTTGGAAGGAGTTTTGGAAGGTGAGGAGTGAAGCAGGCACATGGAAAGGTGAAGGTGGCCCTGGCCCAGGGGGATCAGCGTTCTGATCTTAGCGCTCAGGTCTGCCAAGGACTCACCACATGACTTTGGGCAAGTCACAGAACATGTCCAAAGCTCACTTTTGGAGAAGCTGATGATGATTCCCTTGCAGCGCTGGGGAAGAATTGCACTGTTCACAGCTCAGCCTCCCCGTCTCGCCGTGCAGGGTTTATGGAATGGCGTGGTGGCGCTGTGGGCTCCAGGGTGGGGGAAGCACTGGCATTCGTTCCACGATGTGGGGACAGGGCTCTGGAGGTGTACAAAAGCCTTCAGAGTCCTGCCCACAGCAGGGGTGGCAAACTCAATCGCTCCAGGGGCCAGGCCGGCAGTGTAAATGCCTGGGCTGGGCTGTGAAGCCTGGAGATCCTGAGTTCTGACTTTAAGGAGCCCCTCCCGTTCACTCTCCCCGCCTTCCTCTCCACAGGCCCACCTGGTCCCGGTTCTGCCAGTACTCCGACACCCTGGAGCGCTGGCTAGACGGCTGCAAGCTGTAGCCACCTGAGTGGTGCCGGTAACACTCACCAGTTGCGTCTTATGAATGAAGATGCTTTTCTGTTTGCTGCTTCACTCAATCCTGTTGATTATTTCACCGCTTGACAGCTCCAGATGGAAAAGGACAAAAGTTTGCTTCATGCCATGCGGGCCTGGAATAAACCAAGTTAGTTACTCAACCTGGGCCAAAGGTCTCCGCTTGTATTATTATATTACGATTGTTACTATGATCATCATTATTTACCATTATTATGATTCATTATTATTTAATCTCAGGTGGAGGATTCGAAGGGAGGAAACTATCCGGAAAACAACACATGTCCACGAATGTCAATATTAAATAGGGAGAGGAAGGACAGACACTGTGGAAGCAAAGAGTCGAAGAAGAGAGGAAGTGAGGCGGGTCCAAGCAGGGCCTCCAGCGCCAGTGTGTGTCCACGCTGGGACACTCCAGGGGAAGTGAGGTGATCATAGAATCCTCTTTGTGCTTCTACGGAGAAAATCAAGAGACAGTTACTCCTTTTTTATAGAAAGTTAAGCTTCTAAAAATTATAAATAACACATACACTAGAAATGTTCTGAAAAATACAGATATGTTAAAAAGGAGCAGAGTTCTCCCATGGTCTCAGTACCCAAAGACAATTGCTGTTTTATTTCGGTTGCATTTCCTTCTGGTCTTTTCTCTGGATGGGGTTTTTATTCTTTTTCAACAATGCTGTGATAATACTGCAGATAGAGAGTTTTGTGCCTGACTTTTTAGAAAGAAAGCAAACAAATATGACAATAAACATTTCCCCTGTGTGTCTTCTGATTTTAAGCAGAAAGGGGTTTATTTCAGGAGTTTAGTGGCTTACAGACTCCTTGCATGGGCTGAAGCAGCAGGTGTGAGCCTGGGCTTCCTGGAGACACCTGCCCGAGACCTGGCAGCAGCAGCAGCAGCAGCAGCAGCAGCAGTGTCTGCTCATCAGGTCAGGCCCCCTGTGGGGCCCATACCATCTGGGTTTTGGAAAGCATAGCCCTTAACCTTTCAGCTCTTGTACAGGAAGGAAAGAACTGGGTGGTATCGAGAAATCCTGTTTGCAGCATCTACATCAACGTGGTGTTATAGATTGTTCAAAACACAATTTTAGGCC